TGGGATAATTAATTGAGAGGAATGAAGGAATGAAATGTTGATTGAACATCCATTGTGTATTTATTTTCTGTTTAAAATAACTGCTTTGGGCTATCGGTGGAGGATAGTCGTGATTGTTGTAGACAATGCTTGATGATTAAGTAAACTGAAACTAATCAATGAAATGTGTCATGGAACTTGACGGTTGATAGAATACATTAATTATATGTATTGAGTGATTGTATATAGAACCTTTGTGTTTGTATGCGTTATGTGTAGAGGAGGAGATAGGGGATGTACTCCGCGGTTTAGGGGAAGATAGGGGATGTACCTCTAAACCGGATAGGTATTGGGAGGAGATAGGGGATGAACTCCGTAGACACAGCTCATATGCTTGTCTAGAGAAGTGAAGATAGAGCTCATATGCTTATCTTTGTGAAGTGTGGATACAGCTTTTACGCTTATCTGTGGATATTGTTCTTATACATATCTGTTGTAGAATGTGGATATAGCTTTTACGCTTATCTGTGGATATTGTTCTTATACATATCTGTTGTAGAATGTGGATATAGCTTTTATGCTTATCTGAATGTGAGATATAGTTTTTATACATATCTGTGGAAATGATGATAGAGCTAGCATGCTTATCTGTTGAAAAAGGGAAAATGAAAAGTAATTGGGACTTGTAAGTCGTTGACATAAATATGTAATTTATGTGATTGAATCAGTGTTGACCAACTATCAATTGCTAATGTTTTAGTCATTGTCCATGGTTGGTTTAGTGTATTTCTACTGGGCTGTGGCTCACCCTATATGGGAATATCATTTTCAGGTGCAGGAAGCATGCCACCTCCAAGGACATAGCTGGGAGGCTAGAGGCGGACATGTTTTGTTGTTTTACTTTTGATGTATTACATGTAACTTCAAGCCAAGGGCTTAATGTGTATCGAGTTAGTACTCTTTGTTGTAACCAAGTGTTAACTTGGAAAGCTGTAAGCCCGTAGGGCATTTTGTTATGATGTTAACATGTAATACTTATGTAATGAGACGCTAATGAATAATAGAAGGTGGATTTGTTTATACGTCAACGCATGTCGTATTTGATGGGTTTAATGTTATTATTTTGAGGGCGTTACATAATTAAAATTCAATCTATTAGCATAATAATGGCCCTCCATAGAGAGGTTACGTGTCACCCAACCAAGGCTCAGTTAGTAGTATATAAGAAGTAAGAGTGTTGTGAATGAATGTAGAAAAAATGAATGAAAGAAAGAAAGAAAAAAAGAAAGAGAGGTACGTGAATACTGAAAGTAAGGAGCTTATAGTAAAAAGGTTGTGATAGTGGAGTAAGGTTAAGGATCAATAGTAAGGTGGGTTATATTATACCTTGATTTACCATTATATGTTTTACGAATGTTTGGAGTTACCATAATTATTTCATATAGGTTATATTTTATTAGTTATATTAATAAAAGTTATGTTTTATAAATATTTCAGTTACGTGGGTTATTTTCTAAATTCTGTTCATTTAAAAGGAAACCCATGGATATGTTTGTTTAAATTTTAGTATATATTTGATTATAACCTTATAAACAATTATGTTTTGTAAGTACCATAGTCCCACGCCTTGGGGGGCTTAAATAACCATGGGCCTCTGTTTGGCCACGTTGTGGTCCTCTGTTTGTCATGGATCCATTGACCTCTGTTCTGACTGTCACTTCTGTGACCTCTGTTCTGTTCTGTTTTATACCGTGGTTATGGTTATTTATTTACATGATTTCTGTATTTCAGTATTCTGCCACTTTAAATAAAGTGTTATTTCAAATTAAATTATGTAAATAGTTTGGCCTAACTAATTATCCATGGTTATTTTGTATTCCCTATACTCTTGGCATTATATTTCTCACTCTGCTGTGTGCTTAGAGCTGTTACTCTTTCAGGTGACGAGATGTATGAGGAAACCCATAACCCCACAAAATGGAACCCGCACACGGATTGCTGTTGAACCACTTTTTTTTTTTTTTATATATATCTTTTTAGTTTTGCTTCCTTTTTGTCCTACTCGGGGCGGGTCACTAACTAATAAAATAACTAAAGCCCTAGAGATGTATTTTCTTTTTCTTAAATAGTAAAATGAAGAAAAATTTTCTGTTTCATTATTTTATTTCCTATTGCGCAGTTTAATTTGCTACAAATAACATAAATTAGAAAGTTGCGATTCCAACCCTAAGCCCCTAGGGTTGGTGGAACGTCCGACAACCGGTTAGTCCAAATTTTTCCGCCTTCGACCGAGTTTTCAAAAGTGAGCGTGGAATTAATTTTTGAAAGCTGCAAACAAACACCATAGGCAAATCAAGCGGTGGAACTAAAGTTTCAAAACCCTTCCAAACACAGCCTTAATATACATAGCATTTATTTGTACTGATGATGCGTTTTTTTATTGAGAAATCTAGTAAACAAAATCTTAATGGTAGGATCTCATGCCCACTAGTCAAATTTTGTCATTATCTTGTACCCATAATTTCATTACTTTGTCAAATGCGTATAGTCCTGGAAGCTCGGAGATCATTCATTTGAAAATGAAATTATGGAGTCTTCACTAACTTCACACTCTTCACCGAATTTCCAAAGTCATTTGAATGACAATATCACAATCACGTTTGCACTCATGAATTGAAAACCTTCTACCTATTTTAAGCAGTCATCCATCTTTCCATATGACTAGATATCATGTGGTTACTCTAAAATGGCAAATTTGCAAGTCCGGAAGAGGAAACCAACCTTTCTTATCACATGTCAATTGGGTTTATGTGCTTTATGCAAAAATGCATTCAAAGTTGCCTGTTCGATCATGTAATATTTTTCCAGTTTTTCCAGTTTTTGCCTGTCCGCTCGAGCGGGGAAACGGGCGCTCGAGCGGGGTTTGCGAGCTCACAGTATCTCTGTTATGCCTGAAAAAGTACTGGATGGTGTGATTCGGCGCTCGAGCGTCCAAACCGCTGCTCGAGCGTGGAGAGCGTGGAGCCTGTATGAAATCACAAAATTTGAAGTCTCCGCTCGAGCGGGGAAAAGGGCGCTCGAGCGGACCGCGCGATCCCAGATTTCCAGATTTGATTAAAGAGTTGGTTTTCTTCTGAAACTAGGATTGCTTTGGTTTTCTATAAATAGTTGGTTTTCTCCCAACACTAAAGTGACTTCTCCAGATCTTATTTTTGGATCTTAAGGTTTATATCTGGAGAGATTTTGCTAGTTTCTTTGATGTTTTATTGAGTATTCAAACTCATGGTTTAAAAAGAGTACATCAAAGGTTGTGTTTTGTTCTACAAAAGAGAGAGTTGTTCTTCGGTGGATTCTGAAGAATTCGAGCCTGAAGCTTTGGTGGATTCCGGGGTGGCTCATCGTAAAGACAATTCCGAGGTGAAGACGGGTTGGAAGAGGCACATAGAGGTTGGTTCAATTAGGCGTGGATTCGCTAGGTAATTGAGAGTATACCTGTGTAATTCCTTTAAATCTTCTTAGTGGATTGTTTTTGTGGCTGTTGCCCGTGGTTTTTTTATCACAGTTGGAGGTGTCCAATTGTGGTTTTTTCCACGTAAAATCGTTGTGTCTCTTTGTCTTGATTGTTTGATTGTTTGATTGGGATTGTTATATTCTGCTTAAAATTTATACATAATCACAAATCAACATCTAGGGGATTTCTAGATTTTTTCAAATTAGATCATTACGAATTACATTATGGGCTTCAATAGATCCAATCCTTTACCGATTCAACATAAATTGAGCATACTCCTCATTCGGATCGCGTGACACTTGACAACCCAAATTACTCGTATCAGTCTCAAGTTATGCTGCACTGCGTTCATTTTCTGGAATATCACGCTCGTCTTCAATGATCATGTTGTGCAAAATAATGCACGTCTTCATGATGTAGTACAGATCCTCATCACTCCAACCTCTAGCTGGCACGTTGACAATATTAAATCGTGCTTGGAGCACTCCAAATGCCCTTTCGACATCTTTCCGACATGCCTCATGCATCCTCGAAAATAGCTGTCTCTTTGCGCCTTGAGGTTGAGATATTGTTTTCACAATCGTTGCCCAACGAGGATAGATACCATCAGCAAGATAATACCCCATGGTGTATGCGTGATTATTGATGGTGTAGTTGGCAGCAGGGGCACGTCCTCTAGTTAATTCAGCAAATAAAGGTGACCTGTCAAGAACAGTAATATCATTTAGAGAGCCAGGCATGCCAAAGAAAGCATGCCAAATCCACAAGTCATAGGAAGCAACTGCTTCGAGTACAACTGTTGGTTTGTGATAGTGCCCAGTGTAAGCACCGGCTTGGGCACTTGGACATTAATCCCAACGCCAGTGCATACAATCCAAACTCCCTAACATTCCAGGAAACCCGCGTTGCTCTCCCTCTTGCAATAATTTGCCGACATCTGCTTCATTTGGAGATCTCAAGTAAACGGCTTCATAGGTAGCAACAATTGATCTAGTAAAAAAATTTAAGGCGGCAATTGCAGTACTTTCGCCGATTCTAATGTACTCATCTACAGCATCAGCAGGCACGCCGTATTGGAGGATCCAAAGTGCTGCAGTCATCTTCTGTACACCGGATAATCCAGGAGCACCACTAGCATCACGGGTTTGGATAAAGTACTCATTCACTTGTTGAATATCGTGTAAGATACTAACAAACAATGACCGCCTCATTCGAAAACGTCTTCGGAAGTATTCTTCTGGATAGATAGGATTATCTGCAAAATAATCTCTATAAATCTGTTCATCGCCTTTGACCCTCTCACGATTAATGTATCGACGACCACTTGTGGAACCAACGCGTCTGGTTTGTTGGTTTAGGCTTAACATCTGTAATCTTTGTTGTTGCGCTGTGAATAGTTGCATCATGATGACATCATTATCAGATGATGAAGATTCATCAAAATCTCCATTTAATATGGCTTTACTCAAATTGTTCATTGTAGGTAGATGGGTGAGTGGGTGAATATGAAAATTGTAGAAAATCTTTTTGGTGGGTACAGAGAGTTTTGAAGATATGAAAATGATAGGTAGGTGAATATGAAAATTGTAGAAAACCTTATGTTGTATTTATAGAGAAAATTGTGGGTGAGTGAATGATGGATGGTTGTTGGGTGGGTGGATGAATAATGAGTGGTTGTTGGGTAGGTAGATGAATAATGGATGGTTGTTAGGTGAGTGGATAAATAATGGGTGGTTGTTGGGTGAGTGAATGAGTAATGGATGGTTGTTGGGTGGGTGAATGAATAATGGGTGGTTGTTGGGTGAGTGGATGAATAATGGATGGTTGTTGGGTGGGTGGATGTGAGTGAATGAATGCTAGGTTAATAATGGATGGTTATTGGTGGTTAGTTGTTGATGCGTAATTGGTGATTGTTTATTTTTTATGTGTAGTTAAAAAAATTTATTAAATATGTAGTGATATATTTTTTGGTGGGGTGAATTAATCAAACAAATTTTTTTTTTCAATTTTTCATTTTTTTTCATTTTTTATATTTGTCTAGTTGGAAATAATATAAATATATAATTTTTTTAACAAACAGATAAAAAAATGTCACAAAAGACAAAAAAAAAATAAAAATAAAATCACAAAAAACCTATATCCAAACAACACCTCCAAAGTTGGAGGGAAAGTTGGTTAAGATTTGCCAAAAATAGCAAATGACCATTGGAGCACCATTGCTATAATTTGGCAAAATAACACTATTCATTGCCAAATTATAGCAATAGCAACCCCAATATAGCAACAACCATTGGAGATGTTAGCAAAATAACTCCGAGAATTCCAAATTAAAATATAATCCCAGAAGCAGCGGCTTCACCTAAACAGTAGTACACAGCATCATCAAAATCAAAGAAAAGTAGCAGCATATTCTCTCTCACTGAAATAACTTCTGCCTTCATAACAGAAAATCACAAAGCAGAGCCACTAGCAATATACAACTGATTCATATCACTTAATCAAAATCCTTAACATCGTTGCCTATCCAATCTCACAGCTCCAAAACAACCAATTCCCAAAGGTAGTAGTGCACGAAGGCTGAGATTATAGACCGTCACAAATTCTGCAATTCCACAGATGACAACCTAGATGGCAGACTTTTTTACCATTTGCATTTCTGCGAATTACATTTCCATAGTAAGAGAATTGTTGGGATTCTTCTTCACTAGTTGATTGGCTACTCTTCTCTTCTTGCTCCTTGTACACAAGATGGACTCCCACCTCCTTTACATGAATATACCCATTTCCAACCACTGAAATATTCAGTTCATCGCCACATTCCAACTGATTTTCAAACTTCCAATAGCTTAGCATCATCATATCCTCATCAGCTTCTGGAATGCCACGGACATATGGTAAATGTCTCCAAATCAAACTCTTGGTCGTATCACTGATACTAGTATGTGTGCCGCAATAAAACCTATCAAGCCTATCATCTTCTTTTCGATTATTGCAAAGTGTATAAATAGAACATACAATCAAGCATCGGATTCTGAAATTAAGATGCGACGGCACAGTAAATGATATTGAAGATCCTTCATTTTTAAGATTAAACCAGTCTGGAACCTTGCTTCCTAAACAATAAGTATAGAATATGTGTTTTTCATGACATCCCTGTGCGACATAAAGCATAATTAATTTAACGATTATGTATATATTGTGTGTGTGTATGTGTGTGTGTAAGAGAGAGAGAGAGAGAGAGACCTGTAGGGGAAGCTTCCTTGGACTGTCTGAGTACCAGTTGGTGGCAAGCATAACAGTTTGGCTTCCCATGGATCCTAAGTTGGACAAGCCCAAATTGTTAGTTATCTCCATGTCAATATTTCCTAAAGGTTCAAGCTTGAAGTTTCCCATAATCTCGACTACATTAAAATTTCTGCCCATGTGTAGTTCATTTGGACGCAAACAGCGAGTGCCTTGATTGCCATATATGTCATTATATTCTATGGTTGGAAAGGTTACTTTCTCCAACAATGTACATCCTACGAACCATAATTCTTTCAATTTCTGCGACACTTCAAGTGATCGGAGCCTAGTGCACCTATCTAAACTAAGGATCTGGAGTCCAGTATGACCTCTAATGAAATTTGGGAGGCTACGAATTGCATTACAACTCAGATTTAAAATTTG